ATGACACACAATCCCAGAGCCCCATCAGTCTGCCTCTCTGTACAACAATATCATGAACTGGCTGGAATGAAATAAGCCTTTCCCTGAGGGGACAGAATGCTCCAGACAACCAAGGGATGCACTTCGAAATCTTTTACTGGTATGTACTTCTTATTTAGTTTGCTTTGTTCCCTGCAGTGTGCCTTTCAGAGTGAAGAGACATCAGTGACTTAAAGCTACAAATCTGCTTAGAGGAAGGGAAGGAGGTTAGTGTAGACAGGAGGGCTTCTGAATGAACAGTGTAAATTGCAAATTGTTCTCTCCAGACACCTTCCTTCAGAAACCTCAGATAATAAAAACCCTAGTTTAATGTAAAACTGTGCTTGCCATCTAGGACTTGTTGATGCAGAACTGATGAGGCCACTTTTATTTAGCTGGAGAGGAAATGTGAGAGGTAGTGCCATGTGCAAATTAAACCCTTTGATCCTGACATCAATCTCTTAATTAGGAAGCTGTCAGGAAGAGGCAGTTTTGTTAACATATGTCTATCCGGACAGACCCATCGCTCTGTACAGCAGCAGGATTAAATTCACTAGGGATTATCAAATTTCAGTTTGCTGCCTTTCTCAGTGCATTATTCATCAGCATAGACCACACTACAAATTACCCCTAATTACAACTACAAATGTATCTGTGCCCTGCACAGTCTCTCACCAAACCGTGCCTTCAGCAGTAAAGTGTGTTGCTGACTCCTGGCAAGCTCAGTGACTTCCCAAACCTGAGCTACCTCTGTTTCCTCACAGGCACTTTTCTAAACAAGCCTTTAGCAAGCCACCTGCTCATGTCTCATTAGGTACATGTGCTTTACAAAGCATCTAGGCTGCTCCTGCTTGGAGTCAAGTCTCTCCTCCTTCAGCTTATGTTTTCTGGCTCTTGTGTATGTCTAGACTTAACTGGAAATCCATCTCCCTTCCAGTATATTATATCAGCCATAAAATGAGTTGTGCTTTTCTTTCAGACTACCTTGAGTTCTCTATGCTTCCATCTCACACAATTGATATACTGTACTGGGACAGAAATACTGTACTTCTCTCTGAAATACCACCACATCTTGGTCATAAGTGTTAAAAATGCCTATATTTTCAGAATGAGATTCTGTGCCCCAAAACACACTCCATTTGGAACTTCAGAAGGTATGTTTCATTTGCTGAAGAAATATGCATGGCACTTTTTTCCTTGCAGTCTAATTACACAAAAAGCTCTGGGTGCAGATATCTGCCTTGATAATCTAAAAGTATTTTGATTTATTTGCCAATATTTGACCATCTAATAAAATCAGTACTTGAAATTTTCTTAATCGCATACAGCACATAAACTTCTTCTAAAAACTGTTGTATCAGAAATAAGTATGCTAAAGAATTACTTTGAGGCAAATTCCTTGAGTGAGAATGATTTGCACAGATAGGAACTTTAAGAAAGTTCTCCTCTGTCTCGCTTCCTTGCCTCCCTCTAAAAGTTTCCGAGCCCTGGAAGTTTTCTGCATCTGTATCTTCATTTCTGCTATAAAACCTAACAAAATCCTCAGGTAAGGAGGCTAATATTAAAACACATATATGTAATGTGGATAAACATGCATTACCCTTGCTATTTATTGCCATGACTTACCTCTGATTCGGATATGGAACCACAGCAGGAGGCCCAAGAATCTCTCTCTGACACGGAGGCTTTTTGTTGTCTTTCCCATCATAGAGTGCAGCTACATTGAACCTGGTGAACAAGAGAACAAGAATTAAGGTACAAAGCATACTAGTACATGTTCACAGTACATGTTCACAGTTATTGCACATTTTCATTTGCATGTTCACTAAAGAGCATACAGAATAGTGCACAGTGAGGCAAGCTGCCCTGGAAGTGCCCTGGAAGAAGGTTATACAATGGCTTAAGGTAGATGGAAAAAATCCACTCCTTGCTGTTTGGGCTCACCGTTAGGAGTGCCTGACTCCTGGGTCCTTGCTCTGGCTGGAGAAACCCTGTATTTGCCTCTAAAGATATACTACACCTCTGTTTCTTTCTCATACGTCACATCCAGTGCTGGAATTTAGTAGGATATGCAAGGGCACAGTATTTCTGAGAGTACGTGTAGAACAACCAGAAAGAGGGAAGCTCTTCATCATCCCATCTTAAGTTGGAAAGAGAGAAGTGGGCAGATAGGATGATCACACACGCACCTGGATGCTGGAACACAGGGACTGAGCATTTGTTGGGAGATAAATGAATGACAGCAAACCCAGGAAGTCTATATGTGTGTGTATGTATCAATTTAAGTGTCATGAATTCATTTTGAGCTCTACATACTGTGAAACACAGACTACCCTGTACACAGACTGATGGGCATTTTCTTGCAGAAAGTGCTGTGCAGAACCAAGGGGAGTGATGAGAGATGAGGGCCTAGTTTTCCTCTTATCTAACAGGGTGGCTCCAAGTAAACCTCAGGGAAGTCAGCAGTGTTGGAGCAGCATAAACCAGATGCTAAAGGGTTTTCTTCTGGGAGTGCTTTCCAGAAGTCTGAAAGAATTCAGGCACAGTGGAGAGACTGAAGTTTAAGGTTCAGTTAGGCAAGAATTAGCCTTCCTACTTACTGGAATGCCTGACTGGAAATGACATATGCTGAACTGGGAGCAAAGTCCTGTAATAAATAACCATGGTTCAGTCATTTCCTCCTTTGTGTGGCAGAGAACTGGCACTTGGTGAGGGATCGCTTAATGGCACCAGTACCAGTTTCACCTTTCTGTTCCTTCTTACTCCGGTGCTTATGAAAAAGAAAGAACTAAGCTGCAGAAGCCAGACAGTGAAGATTTCCTCTGGAAAGGTAATTTCCCACCCTGTGGGGTGCAATTTAGTTTACAGTGCTGCATTACTTCGGAAAGAAATGAAACAGAGAGAGCCAGGCATTGCCAGAAAGCGGCCATTGAAAGCAGGTGGTGACGTGGGGAGGGTGGTTGGCCATTTATGACTTAACTGGGAATAAGCATTTTAAATGTTGAAACTGTATATCCCGGGATTGTGTGGGATCTCCTCCCTGCATGTCCATTCCTGGCTATCAGAGACTGGATCCGGAGCTAGCTACACCTTTGATGCAACGCAGTATGGCTGTGCTTCGTGTCTGCACGTACCACTCCCTCTTTGTTCTGGGTAGACATTTCTGCTCTGTTCCCATATCCTGGTTTCTGGCACAGGTGGAAAAGTATCTGTCAGTTGAGAGTCACAGTGGCTGACCACGGCCCATCTGTGGCCTATTTTTGCTAAGTACCATGCTTCTATACCACCCTACATCACTCACAGTAACAGGGCATCACTTTGTTGAAGTTAATATGCAGATCCACTTCCTGAGTCCTGAATAAGAACATGAAGGCATCACCATAAGAAAAACTGATTATCAAAGACAAAAATTCCTTCTTGAGAGAGTGTAAGAAAAAAAAAAATAACAGAAAAAAACCAAGCAGCCAGAAAGAACATATTCATGTTGCGCTGGTAAATGTTTGTAGATGTTGTGCTTGAGAATTGTCTTAGTTACAGATGAGCTCTGGATGTTGACCTAGTCTTACAGGGAAAATCAATTCTTAATATTGTCAGCAGGTGTTGTGCTGGGTCACAGCTCTTGCAGTTTCTACATGTGCCAGCTTTGGTTATTAAGTGTGACATTTCACTTCTTTTCTTGCAATTGGGTCACCTATGTGAAAATTACATTTTAAGTTCCTGCTTTAAAATGTGTGTTAGCATTGGACTTCTACATCAATAGTCTGTCATCTCTAGAAGCTTCTATTTATTTTTCACTTTGGGATCACAATACATTTGTAATTTTGATCATTTGTGATTTTCAGCATTATCTTATGATAACTTTAAAGTGGTACATCATTCTGGGCTTGCTTACAATCCCTGTTCAACCATGCTACTCTATACAGCCCTTTATAGCCACAAACAGAGCACAAAGATCGTGTACCTTGTCAAGCACTTCCTACTTTCATTTTGCTACCCTAATAGCCCTCCTTATTGTTAAGATACTGGTATAACCCACAACAAGTGGCAGAATCTTGCATACAGGAGTATATTTGCTCCTTTTATTCAGTCTGAAGAAAAGTTTGTTTATGCATCAATCAATTTTAAGTAAGATCATGATTTATGGAAGCAATTCATACCTTCCTAAACAACATAGGTAAAGAAGTGGGCGGGCATCTATAGGAAAGCAAGTGATAAAATGAGCCCTAATTCTCTCACTGCAATGTTTTCTTTTAACATTGAAAGTTATTAAAACTAGAGGGGAAAACCAATATTAACCCTGAACTGCACCTTGATTTTTTAATGGTAATCTTCATTTTTCAAAAGCATGGGTTTCCAAAAAAGAAAGTGGCAACTTGAAACACTTTTCTGATCATTTAATTGCTAAGATCTAAACCTCAGAAACTTGTAGAACTCCACCATAGAATGAAGATAAATCATAAAATTATTTATTCAGTCAGAAAAGTAATGAAATCTGGGTATCTCTCAAAATATATACCACCCATATTAAACAGACTTGTAAATGGTTATCAGAAATTTTGAACATAAGATTTTAAAGCCCTGACACATGAGAGAAGAAATCTCAAAGATCTCAGTGAAATTATTGATGATTATTATTGGGAACTACTCAGTATGAAAATGTGTACAGCGACCTCTTCAGGGTTGAAAGCATCTCCTGTGTTACGTGGCAGAACTCAGAGTAGATCACCACCCTAATGCTGCAGGTTCTTCGCTTTGTGTAGAGGGTTTCATTGTTTCTGCATTGGGTGTAGCTTATTATGATCTCTTCTTCTTTAACAAAATTCATAAACATAATTATTTTAAGGCATTTTGTTATTATTTTTTACAAGGAGACATCTCAAGGAAACCCCAGTTGTCTGTTCTGATCAAAGCCTGAGCCTTTTTCTGGCATAATACTATGTTCTTCTTGGCACTACAGGTTACATACAGTGATCTGAAACATAATGGTGGTTTTCAGAAAGGTAAGTCCTATTCTTTGCTGTGATTAACTGTTTAGCCTGAGGCCCACAGAGGAGAAAACCATGGTAAAGTCAAAAATAAAATAACCCACTATTGACAGGTGTAAAATAAGACCAATCTAGATTGGAGTTGAAGAGGTGTCTTGCCTAACCTTGCTGTATTCATGCTGAGCTGGTGACCTCTGTCACAAGGCGTGGCACTGAAAGTGCAGAAGTTACCCCTGGAGTTTTATTCAACACAGCTGAGAGCTGTTAGTCTGTACTATTCTTCATGGCATAACATTTCTTCTTCTTATGCAGTATTTATAGATGCTTTACACTACAGTTGTTTGCTTTTAAATATAAGCCCATAAGGTGTTTTGAAAGGAAAAAGAAATATTATTTCAGTAAAAACCTTGAAACTTTGACAGTAAATGCTACAGTGTCTAATAAAAATTGTATACAAGAAGACACTCAGCTAGAAAGCCACTTCATACCTATTGAAGATCAGCTTTCATTGAAGATCAGTTTTCATTCCAGCCATTACAGTAAAGTTTTCTATTTGAAGCTGTATTAGTGCCTGGAGCAAGAGAAGGTATTCCTGGGGGCTTGGAGTTGAGGAGTATAACAAGGACAGTAGTGCAGCAACACAAAGATGCCGCTTATTCCTAGGAAAGGGCAGCTGTAGCTCGCACCTTCCTCAGTGACAGCACAGCAGTTCTTGGTAGCTTGCTCTGCAGAGAGGCAGGATGTTGCCTCTACAACTGTGAAGAGAGAAGCTGGGCTAAATAAAGAAATGTGTTGGGTTTTTTCTAAAGAAAGATCATGGAAGCACCCACATTTCTAAGGGATTTCAGCTACACCTAAAAACTCTTGCAACAGAGCCCTCTACATTTCCAGGCATCTAGTCTGTACATGTTTGTTTTTCCTGGTAATGTCTATGTTTTCAAACATCCCTTCTGAAAGAATACCATAACTAATATGAGGCTGCCAAGACACTTGAGCAGTATTCACTCTGCCTCCCACCAGTCTCTGGGAGCTGAGTACCTGCTGAGTACCTGGTGTCCTTGTGAAATGTGTTCCCTCCTTTCCTCTTGTGAGACAGTTGGGTTTGGTTTCATGATTTGTCCAAAGTCATGTTCCAGGTCAGCTGTGGAGCTGGGAGTAGAACTCAGAGGTCCTGATACTATAACTGGTAGACTGTACTGCCTGAGAGCAGCAAGAACTTATTCAGTTAAACACTGCTAAAGGAATCACATCACTAAAAAATTAAGACCAAGAGCCTGTGAGCTATATGGCATCAAGTATATCACTGTATTGATGATTGCTTTTCTTCTGACCAGGGTGATCATGTGTGGCTGGACACTCAACCAAACAGTGAATTCAATGTCCCTATCGGGGCAGTTGTGAAGGACTCTGACTCGGGACGGATTTTGCTGGAGGATGATGAAGGCAAGGTGGGCTACTTTATAAATTTCTGTAAAAGATGAACATTTAAAACATTAAATTCTTATTTAGTATAAATGTACTAAAAGTTTAAACGTACAAAGTATTTTGTAAAGTACAAAGTACAGAAAAATGGCCATATTTCCATCTAGCCAAATGATCTGACTTTGGGAAAGTCTGGTAGGATATACTGAAAGAAAATAAGGCCAACATAGGATGATACCCTATATCCCCAGGTCCCAGCACTATGATGATTCAGAGCTTCCTGAGCTAGAGGTTATATCTATGTACTTACGAAAAGAAAATGGACAGGCTCCAATCCCTAAATCTGGTGGAGCTTTAGGTGAAATCATGATCCCACTAAAGTCATTTGGGGTTTCATCTCCCTACCTCATATGATGTTGTGGCTGTGATGACCTGACAGAGCTGCACTCTGAACAGTGCTAGATGTGGTGAAGTCCAGAACCCACTTGAATGGCTTCATCCAGTGAATGTATCAGTCATCTGGTCCTGGAGAGCAGCAAACCAGTCAACTGTTTGTAAGATTATGCTTATTTGAGCATGGTTTATACTGAAGCTTCATGGTTCTCCTTTGTTTGCTTCTGAGCAACAGCACAACACATTAAAGCATATGCCTTGCCTTGTTCAGGAACACTGGATCACAGCTCGGAACATGCACATGGTGCGCTTGATGCACCCCTCCTCTGTCCAGGGGGTGGAAGACATGATCCGCCTTGGAGACCTCCATGAAGCAGGCATGGTGCACAACCTCCTCATCCGCCACCAGGAACACAAAATCTATGTGAGTGTCAAGGCCACCAGGCATAGTAGTTTCAGAAACAGCCTCTACTACACAGCCTGCAAGCTGCATGGGGCCCTCTGCTTCCTTTACAGATTGAGGGTGCCAAGGAGACACAACATAGTTTTTCTCTTATTTCATTCAAGAACTTTGGCTGTGAAGAAGAGAGTTAATAGCAGTCTCTGAAATCACAGATATGTGTAGGTAGTGGCCCTGCTTACTTTCTCCTAGAGTGATCATTTCACTAGTGACTGACAGCTAAATCCAGCCCATGTTACACCTTACTGCTGCTATTACCTTCAGCTGGGACTCAGGATCAGTCTAACTAGTACACAGTAACATGATTTGGATGTCCTCCAGTCCAAGTCAATGTTTACTTGATTTTGATGTAATAAAATAAAGAATAGACGTGGATATTTAGGACGCCTCATTTCATTTCATGTCCATTACAGGTTTTATCTGTAACTGAGCAATTTGGCATTTTTAGTTTCTTTGTTCCTTAGTTCACAGTTTTGACTATGATAATAATATTCAGGTTTTTCCATGCTTTGCTTCCAATGTTGTATACACTAGAGGAGAGGAGCTGCCTCTTACAACACAGATGTGGTGATGTTTAGTCTAAATAAGGACTGATTTTATAGGTGCTGCAGTTGAAACAACCAAGATGTGAGTAAAGGCCTGTTATATTAGGCTCAGTCTGCAGTTGTCTTATGTAGAAGTTTTTGAACAATATTATTGCCTTGCATTTCCACAGTCTTCAACAGCTTCCTTCATTCAATGGTTTATAAATGTTACTAAATGACTAAATGGAGATATGAATATAATTACTAAATTACTAAATGGATATATGAATAATGCAAACCATAACTTTGCCCATTAGCAAAGTTCAGCTACATCTGCACTAGAACACAAAAGCAGCTTACCAAAACACTACAAAACAGCTTATGATAACACACACAAATCCCAGGTCAAATTGGACTTTATCATGCTTCTGTACTTGAGACAGCAACCTAAGATGTGATTTGGCAAGGAGATTATCACTAGGATTATCCCTTTTGCAAAAAACTCCATATTCTGGGATATTTAAAGGCAGCTTATAGTGAGGAACCAGATTCTCAGGTTCATCTAAATGCTGCTGTGGATCTCCTAGGCTTCCCTCCTGCCTCTGTTTAGACTTATACTGCAAGTGGCTTTGGTTGTATTCTTATTTGCAGGTTTACTGCCAGAGATAACACTCATAACTGTTTTCCAGACATACACAGGATCAATCTTGGTAGCAGTGAATCCATACCAGCTTCTGCCACTCTACACAGTCGATCAGATCAGACTGTACTGTAACAAGAGGATTGGAGAGCTACCACCTCATGTCTTCGCCATTGCAGACAACTGTTACTTCAATATGAAGAGGAATAAGAGAGACCAGTGCTGTGTCATCAGGTGACTGTACTTAGAGAGGATGAGTAGCAGAAACCAAGTTTGGCATGTTTGGGAGGCATCTTTGTGGACATAGGAGATCTTCCAAAGGGAAGGGCATAGATAAGACTAGAGACAACAGGAAGAAAATATTTTCTCCTCTTCGTCTTCAGTTAGGGCTGCAAAAGCTAGAGCATAAGCAAGGGGTTTCTGAAGTCCATTGTTTTCCCCCAGAAGCTTTGAATGTGGTTATACATTCTGCACATGGTCACTCTATATGGAAACATAAAATATGAGCCTGTGTGATGTAAGGCTATCTTTTACCTTGGGGACATGATACTTATGTTACATATACTTTCTGAGAACAGAGATTTCCTGGAGAGAAACAACCTCTGCTAACCTGAAGATGGAGGGAAACTTTCTTCATTCTATAAAGACAAAACACATACCCACTTTCTGTTAATCATCAGTGTGAAGAACCAGATAATCTCATTGTAATAATATCTGATTATAGCTGAGGCAACTCAGTTGATGTGCTAAAACTAGCATTGAAAAGCTGGTGATGCATTAAAGGAGAAAAGCAAGTGGTCATTTAATTTGCACTGGTACAGAATGTCTTCCTTGGATTTGCTTGGTTTTAATTAGTGGGATAATTTAGTCCTCAGCCCGAGTCTAAAAAACAAATTAAATTTTAGCAGATAAGATAGTGAAAGACTAAAATTCTCCAGCCTTCCATGAAAGACAGTCTGATCTGCCATTAACAGGGTAAATCTGAGGGAGCTTTCTTTTATTTTCAATTTGGTCTGCCATTTTGCCACCCTAGCCAAAAAAAGAAGAAAGGAAACCTTTAATGATTTTGTTTCTTACTGCAGTGGAGAATCTGGAGCTGGGAAGACTGAAAGCACAAAGCTAATACTACAGTTTTTGGCAGCTATCAGTGGCCAGCATTCCTGGATAGAGCAGCAAATCCTAGAGGCAAACCCCATTCTGGAAGGTAGGTTATTTAGTAAACATGCCTGATTTACCACCTTTATCTCAGGATTTTGTATCAGGATAAACAAATCAGAAACAGATCTTTAAACCACTGTATTTGTATAACTGCTAAAATCCTGAAACGCTGGTGATGCAGGGTAGAAGTTCTCTATACTTTTGTGCCATGTCCTCACGAAGTCCACAGCAGCTCCCATGAGGTAACCTGGAACTGCTGGGAGCACAAGAGTCCCTGGGAATGCAGAGCTCAAGGTAAAGACCCCTGGTTTAGCATTTGCACTAGATAGTGGCAAACTGGCTGGCGAAGGATGGATATATCTATAGGAGAAGCTCCTGATGTACCTATCTTTCTCTGTAGAAGGATCAAATGTGTTCCCAGTAAGTCCTTCTGAAGGTCTTCAAACCTGCCCAGCTCTCTTGGCTGGCCAGATTGGCTGGCTGCATTTGGAGCATTTGAATATGTCTTCAAGAACACAGTTTTCTGGATGCACAGTATGCCTACCTCTCTCTTTAGGAGGCAGCCTGAGACCAGACATTCTGCAGTGCTTCTCAGCACTGTCATTTCAAACACAACGTGTAAAATACTAGCAGAAAAAAGTACGGCATAAGAAATAGACTTGATGTGCATTAACTGCAATAATCCAGATACTATCTCTGACCCTTGCCCATCAGCTTTTGGAAATGCCAAGACAATTCGAAATGACAATTCAAGCCGGTTTGGGAAATACATTGATATTCACTTCAACCAAAATGGTGTGATAGAAGGAGCCCGGATAGAACAGTTCCTTCTGGAGAAGTCCAGGGTTTGCCGGCAGGTAAGGGTTAGGGCAGATGTACATTCTGCCTGCTCCTCCATTCCAAGCTAACACTGACAAGGCTGACCATTGGCCTATTTCTTTCTCTTAGGCTCCAGAGGAGAGAAACTATCACATCTTCTACTGCATGCTAATGGGGATGAATACAGAGCAGAAAAAGATGCTAAATCTGGGCACTGCTTCAGAGTACACTTACCTCACTATGGTAATAGTCTCTGCTCTCTTCTCATTATCCTTCAGCCATTTGCTTCTTCCAGCAAGCAATTACAATGGGAGCTGCAGATGGGTAGTTCCGAAATATGAACAGTCCTTTCCTCTAAGTACCAGCAGCAGTAACACTAAAAGTGCGAGCTTCTGTTTCAGAGATCTAATATAATGTCCACCAGTGGGAGGCAGCTTGTGGCAGTTCAAAGCTTACTATCAAAGTCAGACTTAAGAAACATAAAGGACATCTTAAAGCAGGTGAGAAATATTCTCCACTTTCACAGGCACTCAGATTTCATGCCAGGAAGAATACTAATAGGTATGTATACCTTAGGGGAAAATGAGTAAGTAGAATCAGTGCCAAGAATCCTAGTCCTTATATCTTATAAAATCTTATATACATAGTGCAGGAAGCTTACATTCATTAGCTGATGCTAATGTCCCTGTCTGGGTTTATGTTGCCATAGTGGCAGCAGTGGGATGTTCATAAGTGAGATTTTTTAAAATAGCTAATTGGTTTAGGGTATATGAAAGCCATGGTGCAAATCCTGTTCTTTAGCCTGTGCAGATACCTCGTATTAAATACATCAGCTGGTTTGGTTTGAGCTGTTCTCAAACCATGGCTGTTCTCAGCCATGAAAAAAAATGGGGCTGCTGAAGCTAGGCATCTAGTTTCAGAGGAAATTAAAACAGGACTATAAAGCTGTTTCTGTAGTCTCAAAAGCAAAACCATTAAAGTTGCTGGAGATTTTTTTTCAAATACATTTTCACACTAGCAGTGATCTTGCAACAAGAGCTGATGATTGCAATTCACACATTAGCCATTCCATAAAAAGGTCTGAAGTTCCTGACTAGTATTATGCAGAGATAGGAGGATTAGATTAAAGGAGAACAAAACCATATGTCCACTTGGAGGCCAGTAACAAGTGGTG